TAGTAGTAGTAGTAGAGAGAGAGAGAGAGAGAGAGAGAGAGAGAGAGAGAGAGAGAGAGAGAGAGAGAGAGAGAGGGAGGGAGAGACGACGGAAAAAAAAAATTCGATAAATCGATTATACTCACCGTATCCACCGTTGATACTACGTCAGAACGAACGAACGAACTCCATTTGTAAAATATTAGGATAGGAACAAACAACGATCGATTGGAATGACAATTTTCACGGCTCGTTAAAGGAGTTGAACACGAGACAACGTAGCGAGCGTTTAACAACGGAAACGAATTCGAAGAATCTACGAAATTAAAATTCGCATTTCACATTCTTTCGATCGAGGAGGAATTTCATTTTGTACAATGCTACCTACATGATGAACAAATGATTTTTGATCGTTTACACTAATTAGCAGTAAAGGACGGTAGCCTTTTCGAAATTATGAATAATAATTACTAACTATCCCCCTCACCCCCCCTTCCTCTTCCTCCTCCCCCTTTTCCCCCTCGTCCTAAATTTAAGAATCGTGCATCCCTCCCCGCCCCCCTTCCATCCATTTATCATTAAATTAGAGATTTATTATATTGACGTTTAAAAAAGAAATTATTCCCCTGCGAGAATAAAGTTTCTAATTAATCTGATATACATTTTTTTATTCTCAAATGGACGTTATATATAGCGTGTTAAGATAATACAAGGATTATATAAACTTTCAGATAAGAATACTTTATATTTATAGCGAGATATATATCCTTCGCAAAGGATAAGTGAGCTTGTATTAACCCTTTAATACACCTTCGAGTCCGTAGCTGAAGTTGTTCCGTTTTTTTATCGTATTTTGATTTTTAGCGTTGTAAAAATCGACGAGGAAACGATTTACATATACATAATGAAACGCCTGAAACGAAAAAATCGAAGAAAATTCGTTCGACATTAAATACCGACAATTAAAATACAAAATTAATAAATTATGTTGCATATCTGTTTTTCCTTTTTTTTATTTTTTTTTTATTTTTTCTTTTTCATAAATAAATTTGTGACGATTATACGAGGACAGTTATAGAATATAAAATGTGATTTGAAGCTCTAGTCGAACATCGGATTAATAAATAATAACGAAATAATGGCAAATTCTGCTTGCCATTGATAGACAGATATCGATGAAAGAGAACCGAGTATGACAAAAGAGCTTGTTTACATTAAATTTTGTGTAGCTCATTTAGAAAACTTGGACTGGTATAGTTAACGAAGAAAATAAAATAAAAGAAAAATAAAAAAAAAAATAAAGTGAATTCAAAATGTTCCAAAAGATGCAAGCTCAAAATAATGTCACGAATTATATTAAAGTGCCATTGTTTTCTTATGCATGTTCGAATCCTTGTATTACTTTGGTAAAATATATTATTAAAGAGTAAGTAAAAGATGTTTATCGACGAGTAACGAGTTATAGATAGTTTTCATTAATCAAGTTTCATTAATAGGCGATAGTCTATATAGAATATGATGTGTAATAATATCATTTTCTCACATTTTAAGCCTTCAAAAAGTTTGAAGAGTTTGCAGGAGGAATATTCTTTTTTAATTTATAAAATTCATTTCGTAATATCCATAATCCTTTTTCCTAGAGAATTTTAATGAGACGACCGTGTCAATAATCATCTTTTTTCTCTCATCTTTTATCAAAATTATCGTTGTCTTACTGCAAACCCTTCAATTTTAATTACTTCATTATACGATTAACTCGTACTACGACATACAATTTTCAATATTACTGCAGTACAAATGGCCATAAAAGCAAACAGAATTCAAACTCGATAATTAAAACTCATCTCGAAGGTTTATGTTTGACGTTTCAAATATTCATTTTCATTATTTACTTACTCGTTTTTTTTTATGTGAATATTTAATGCCAAATTTACATATTACAATCTCGGTTTCGTATCCCATTTTAATATACGAAAATACTTTTTCACTTGTAAAAAAAATTAAGGGATATGAGTAATAAACAAAACTAACGAAATTTTACTAATATAAACAAAGTCTTGCATACGATAGATAGGTATAGTTTAAAAAGGAAGCTATACGAATAATTTAAAAAAGAAAAAAAATACAATTTTTCAAATAGTAGTTCATATTGTGAATCGTCAAAGTGTATCGAAACTTAAAACGACATGGAGATTACAACCATTCAAAGTCAGACATATATGCTTCGTACAGACCACGATAGAGGATTGCGTTTTTTCTTATCATCCTTCTCCCATCGATGTTTGATCATTTTAGCTTGTTAAAAACGAGGTCTTATATCGATATGGTGTGAAATGTATTAAAATATATGCATAAATTGTCAACGATCTTCGACCAACGCTAGCTTAATTAGTCCCAGTATTGCTGGATAAGCGAGATGAGATTAAGATTTAATAGACAAGAAAAGAAGAGAAAAGAAAAAAAAAAAAAAAGGAAAAGAAAAAAACGAAATTTAAAAAAAAAAAAACAATCAGTCGTTCTCTGATCCCCGATGAAGAGAAAAGCGGACGAGAAATTTTTGCATGGTGTCTAAATATCTCGATATGCAATGGCTCAACGATTCACGAGGATAATTTATCATTTGTACGTCTTTAATATAGCGTAACGATAATCGATTTCAAAGAATTCGAACTATTCGATATTGAATATTCAATAAAAAAAAAAAAATAAAGCGATAAATTTAAATAGAATTTAAACAATTTAAAAGATTAACAGACACCATTGTAATAAAAAGCGCAAGAATTTTCATTCCGCTTGTTTCCCATATTCGACGATTCGATCAGTTGAATTAACGTATTGAATACATATTGGCTTAAAAATTTGATAATCTATTAATTGGTATTTCAAATTTAAAGATAGAAATTGAAATTAAGAAGACGTGTTATATTTAGCGTTGTATAATAATTAATTATATCGATTATTATTATTATTAAATTTCTTCTTTTCGATTAATAATTTCATTCGAATTCAGAAAGAATAGAGAGATATAAAAGAAATTAATTTTTCTAATCTTCGACAGTTAATATTTTATAAATATTTAATTTTTTTCGATTTACCGTTTAGATACAATGGCACGTCCTGTTAATCTTAATTTCGTACAAGAGACAAATTTTAAAATGCATGTGCGTATGATATATACGAATATATTCTGCGGCGTGACCGCGAAATTTCAACTTCCCGCATTTTTAACTTTGTATTAGTAGATAAAGAACACGATGAATTACCATTAATGTTACCTTACACGAATATAAACAATAATATTTGTAATAGCTGTAAATTTACATTACGACAACTCGGAGAGATATGAGATTAAACGAGAAAATTTAGACACACATTCACGCAATTTTGCTATTATTGTTATAGCATAAAATATAAGTAAAAATAGTTACGAATTTAACAAATTAACGATTAATTAATTAACTATATATGAGCATCGAAATAGTGCAGTTTCATCGCGATTTCATTCACGATGCAGATTGCAAGTTGCAAAAGAATTAAAAATCGAGAGAGAGAGAGAGAGAGAGAGAGAGCGAGAGAGAGAGAGAGAGAGAGAGAGAGAAGAAG